ATACCCTGTAATTAAACATATCAAAATTCTGAACCTTGCTTGTGCACCCTAGTATGATTTTCAGTGAGTCGAAGTGAGTCACTTTGGGGTCCTTAACCCAAAATAGCAATCCCCATAGGGCTAAAACTGTGTTGTGCCGCCTTGAACCCCCACGGGAATTAATCAACCGTGTCAAATTTGCTTAGTATATCTGGTACTGACGTCGGTTCAAGTAAAATACACCAGTTTATTTCACCGTCAGACCTCCGTTGCCATGGCAACGGCCACTGTGACCGTCCCCTATGCTTTACAATGGGTGTTCCCCACTGGCCAGAGAACGCGTAACCCCCCCCCCCTTTTCTGCTGAAAAAACGGCTTACACTAACTACAAATCACTCAGAACGTGAGAGGATACAACAATGATACCCGCTAGCCAGAAAAGTCGGCCGGGATAGTAAATTTGACCTGATAAGAAGACCACTAAATGGACCGTCATTAGGGACTTGTGGACCTACGACAGGTGCCGAAGTGCAAAGTTTAGCCGCTATCTGAGATCAAATTTGGGCCTCAAAAGCCCCTTCAGTCTGAAATGGGTTTAAAAATCGGGTATTTCTTCTTGTCTTCTTTTCTTCTCCAAAAAAATAGAAAAAGTTCAAAATGTATAATTTTTGTATGTAATGTGGACACAGAGGTTCCCATATCAGTTTGCAAAACAATTGAGCTGGTAGCATGTTGATAATTTCTAAAAATTAGCAAAAAACTGTTCTGGGGTCCGCGCGGACCCCAGGTGTACAGATTAATCAGTCCGGGAAGGTGTACTGTTGAGGGTTAAGTCGGTGTGGCCTTATGGCAGAACGAGATGACACCATACCCAAAAAAGCTTAAGTCCAAGAACTTTTAAAAATGCCAAAATGTTCAACTTTGATTGTTTGACGTGACTGCGCGTAGTAGACATCTCGTTTCCCGTCAGCTGAACAGACAAATCACTTGACCCCTACCATGATACTAATTATTCCGCCCCCTTACCCTCTGACCCTTCCTCCCTAACCCTCGTGAGGTCATTCGGGGATCAAGGTAGCAGAACACAGTTTTCGCCCTATGGGGATTCCTATAGTTAAGCACCTCGAGGTGACTCACTTCGACGCGGTAAAAATTATAGTAGGGTGCACTATTGAATCACGGCCAACTAATATGTTGAAATATGCGGTATATTCTACAAAATAACTGAAAACCAAAAAAAGTTATCGTTTTTTAACATAATGACGACCACTTTGATTTGGCCCTCTATCGGGGTCAACGGAACTGCAGCCGGCTCACCCTGGAACGTGGTTGCGTAATGCCGCGCATTTATACACGAACAGGGAAATCTTCACAATCCAACTCATACTGTGTACAAGCAGATACCTTTCCTTACCACACAGTGCAGTTCATTCATGGCTACCTCTCACATAAGTCGCTTTAGACAGGATGCGAGAGGTTTGTCTGCACTACTTTCTATACCCGCGTCATACCATGCGACCTCAACCTGTCCCATTTTTTTGGCTCCCGATCATTGTTCAAGCGTGTGTATGTAGTTCCAAGTTCCCATCGACTTGCGTTCGGGAGGCTAGACTCGTGGATGTGTGACCATGGCATGTCCTAACACCCTTATCACGCTTACTAGGAACCAACTAAGTCCCCGTGCTATGTTTCAAAGCTGTAGAATATAAAATATAGCCCCATAATTCAATGAATCCTGTTACCCTACATGTGTTAAATGCAAGGCCGGATATTCGCTTGAATGAGTCTATTTTTGTTTTGAACTAGTTAAGCCGCCTGGCTACAAGACCATAACAGTGGGTGGTGTTACACAGGTTTCGTCACCCCAGTTTGAGGCTCAAAAAAAGGAAGAAGCGGGAGGGGATTGACAAACCTTTTTTTTCCCACATAGACACAAGGTATATGTCATATTATTGAATCATCAATTGTTTTCTATGCTGTGTTACACTTTACCTCTTCCCAACACATTATACGTAAGTTTTGATGGTTTGAATGGAAATACAAACCTTTAGACAGGGTTTAAAAATCTGTAGTACGAAAAATATGTAACGTACTAGGTAGATAAAACCATGACAATTCAGTGGACAATGTGTAATTAACTGCATTACAGTAAACATGGAATTTACACTAAGACCACAAATATTTTTTCGAGAATATTCTAGGAAATATTACTTGTCGCACATTCTTCTCGGTGTAACACTATGTACATGTAACGTTACATTGTATTTACGCACCCCAGCGTATCTTAACATCCTGCACGTTTACTAGGAAGCAATGAGCATGTATTATAAGTTCCGAGTAAACGTGCTCAAAGTGTTACACTCATACAATAGACGTGCACTGGACTGTGACACAAATCTTTTGTAAGCTTGGCGAGGAAAACAAGTTGAGCGGATAGGAAATGTCGACACCCTAGTCAAGAGGCATTTGTTTATTTGGATCGCATCATTGTATAATGGGCGGTGCCCTTAAAGCGACGGTCACAACCCGCCGTACGTGATTTTTGTCCGTACGATTTTTGGGAGGCTACGTCTGCTACGTTTTTTCTGAAAACGTGGGGAAGGAGTGGCATCGACGCACGTCACTCGCACGGTTTCGCAAGGTGTAAGAGTGTGGTCTGCACGCCACGTCTGGCCGTGAGCGGTTGCGTGCATCGTACGTTGCGCAAGTGGTGAGTTGTAGGTGCTTACAACGTTCGATCTCTGTGCGATTGCAACTTTACCATAAGGAGGCCATACTCACACGTGCTTCTTCCGCACGGCACGTACGGGGCACGCACGTCGCTCGTACTCGCACGCACGGGTGGTGAATCCGCAGACCGCACGTAGAAAAAAGTTGCACTTAAAGTTCTACGGCGTGTCTTCGTGCTCCAAAATCCGTAGGATTCCGTACGGATGTGGTACTCACCACGCACAGATGCCGTACGTTTGCCCACGTTTTTGCACGTAGACAGCACACAGAAACACGTACGGCGGGTTGTGACCATCGCTTTAAGTTAGTCCTGGGTGTCTAACTCCAGGTGGCGGGTAGCTTTGTTAACAATAGAGTTTGAAATTTATTGCTTTTGGCCAAGGATTATCGAGCTCTATCGCTACTCTTTAGGCAAATAAAAGACTCTTATATTACTAAGCATTTTGGTTAAAACTCGCCCTTTCTCAAGTGAGTCCTGGATGTCTAACTCCAGCTAACATGTAGGGTTGGAACAAACAAAGTAGTAGTAGTAGTAGTGGTAGTAGTAAATCTCATAACCTTGACGGTCGTAGGGGCATCATGGCAGCCAGCAGCATGTCTGGACTTTGTCAAGTAAGCCCTCGATGTCTATCTCCAGATGTCATGTAGCTTTGGCACAAAGCTTCGCATTTATTGCTTTAGGCAAGGATTATCGAGATCTAACGATATCGTTTGGGCAAATAAAAGAGGCTTCCTTAGCATTTTGGTTAAAGCTCGCCCTTTTTAAGTGAGTCCTGGGTGTCTAACTCCAGGTGTCAGATTTCTAAAACAAAGGTGTTTCACATTTATTCTTTAGGCAAGGATCGTTGGGATATACTTTTTTTTTTAAATATCACCAGACCTACATGTATGAATCAGGCTTAAGCTTACTCTGCATTATTAGTAAATCACTTTCCTTTGTCAAGTAATTATAAGCTCTCGATGTCTAACTACAGGTGTCAGGTAGCTTTGCTAACAATAAAGTTTGGCAAAGCTTTTGGTAGCTATTAAGGTATTTGCACCATGCTGCCGAATGTTTTGAATGTCTAAAACATTCTGGTGTTGACCGAATGTTTGGCCATGTTTTGCTGGTATTTGGGAGTATTCGGGGGCTTGTTTGATTCAAATTTGACTTAAATTTGATTCACATTGATCGTCAGGGATGGTGGCCTAAATCAGATCAGACTAATTTGGACTTCAGCCAACCTTAGTTGGTGGTTATCAAGGGGAGGGTTATGGAATTATGCGAGGCGGGCTTACTCACAGATAATTGTAACGCTACCGACCAACAACAACAGCATACACTGGCGGCATACATTGGTTGGCCCCTCTAGGGTGGCTAAAGCAACGGTCATAACCCGCCGTGCGTGCTTTCTGTCCGTACGTTTTTTTTTGGAGGCCACGTCTGCTACGTCTTTCTGAAAACGTGCAGAGGGAGTGGCTTCGACGCACGTCACTCGCACGATTGCGCAAGGTGTAACAGTATGGTCTGCACGCCACGTCTGGCCGTAAGTGGTTGCGCGCAGCACGCAGAAGCACGTACGGCGGGTTGTGACCGTAGCTTTAGGCGTATCACAGTGTGCAATACAAGCACACTGTCAGGTACTCCTATTGTACTGGCGGGGACACGAAGATATGTATAGTATTACGTACATTCACGAAAACGTCTCATAGCATTTGGCACTTGTAATGCTAAACGTTAAGGGCTCATAGACAAAATGAATGTCTGACTAATCCAAGTATGTTTTTACATGAATGTTTTGAAAATCCATTGATCCCAACGTGACCAACCTCTGACAACTAGCGTGGAATGTAAGATTTAAGCTACGGTCACAACCCGCCGTACGTGCTTCTGCGTGCTGTCTACGTGCAAAAACGTGGGCAAACGTAGGGCATCCGTGCGTGGTGAGTACCACCTCCGTACGGAATCCTACGGCAGACACGCCGTAGAACTTTAAGTGCATGTAACATTACAATCTTCGAATGGTAATATATTTTTTTCCAAATGTACTCTACTTTATTCATTTATTCTCCTGTGCTGGGTGTATTTATCCTTCTGATTGGTCAATGTGAAGTGTGTCTCTTCTTCTGATTGGTCAACAACATCTGTTCATTTATGGATTTCATTCACCGTTTGCCACTCTGAGTAGAGACATGTTTTATTTTAAGTTCAGACTATGAATCACTTCAAAAATTATACATTTAAAAACAACTAAAAAGTTAAAACAATTAAATGAAACACTTCCTTTTTATTACCATAACCAGTAAACACTATGTGGACACTAGTGGCGTCTGTCGTGGTCGCATGCTTTGTGCTCTCCAAGTGTGTATCATCCCAAACACGTAAGTGTTGATTTGTTCCAATTGACTTCCCCTGAATCCTTTATAGCCAATTTCCAAGCTAATTTTTGTGTTTGTTTTGATTTCCATTTCAAATAAAAGAACTGTTAGTTGCTTACATTCCAAAGCTCACTGTAATTTTTAAAAGTACTACAAAAGTGAAACAGTAAGCTATTAAAATTCATTTTTAGCATTAAGAACATTTGTAATGTTTTTCATTTACTTTTAACTACAAAGTAAAACCCTCAGACAACAAAAACCTTTTGATCGTATCAAATCAAAATGACATGCACTTTAGTATGAGAGTAGTTAGAAAATATACATTCATGTACATTTTTGTCTCATGTACATAAAAATATTTCACCATGAGGCGAGAGACGAGTAAAATTTTAACGTGGTTCTACATTGGGATCGCTTAACCTTGTAGATATCAGAACATGTCAAAATATAATTTCCTTTCTTTTCAGTTTGCCAAAGCCTAACTGCTGACAGTGGGTCCTTCAGCAGTCAAAACTACCCAAACAACTACCCAAACGACCATGACTGTCGATACGAGATCTCTGTATCTTCTCCTAAAGTTATAAAGCTTACCTTCACCGATTTTGAAGTGGAGAACGACTTTGACCACGTGTACGTGTATGATGGAAACACAACTGATTCAAATTACCTGCTAGGTAGGAAACCAACTTTTTGTAGCAAGTAATAGGTGTGTGCAGTATGCCTGTGTGTGTGTGTGTGTCTGTGTGTGTGTGTGTGTGTGTGTGTGTGTGTGTGTGTCGTCTGTGTGTGTGTGTGTGTGTCTGTGTGTCCGTGTGTGTGTGTGTGTATACGCGTGTGTGTGTGTGTATGTGTGTGTGTCTGTGTGTGTTCATGTGTGTATACTTGTGTGTCTGTATCAGTGTTTGTGTGCACGCGCGCGCGTGTGTGCGTGTGTGTGAATGTGTGTGTTTTTTTCCTTTTTAGCTTTTCAGCGCGCTAAAGCTGAAAAGGCAGGCATCAATAGGTACTAGTTAATTCTATGTTGATCACACAGCAATTCTTCTGTCCTTGATAGGTACAGTGGAATGGGCAATCTAAGTTAATAATAATATATGCAATTGTAAAGTAGTATCTAGTATAATTTAAAACATAGTTGAAAAAAAATGCTTTAAATCGAACTCTGACATTATGTTATCTGCAAAACCCATAATATAGGTACAACTCTCTTTAACATTTTTTCACACTGCAGCTGAGCTAAACGGTGCAAAAATTCCTGGTCCTGTTACTTCTACCGGGAGCTTCATGACCGTTCGACTTGTCACCGATAGCGAAGTGAATTGGAAGGGATTTCAGGCCAGCTATGCAGCGGAAGATAAAGGTAACTGATTAAATGTTTAAAGTTAAAACTTTTGGTCCAACACAAAAAATTCTCTCACCTAGAGCTTTCGACCAGTCACTCTGGTCTTCCTCAGTAGACTGACCCAGTGAAGCCAGAGACTGAGGAAGACCAGAGTGACTGGTCCAAAGCTGTAGGTGAGAGAATTTTTTGTGTTGGACCAAAAGCTTTAACTTTAAACATGTAACTACCAGCACAGGTGAACTTTCATGATAGTAACTGATTAAACTTACAGCATTTATGTACTTTTGACAATTTGAGTTGACTTTGTGCACTTTTGACTCTTATATACCGATTATGTTATGTACAACTTTGTATTTAGTTCTCAAATTTTATTTGATGCTTCAAGTCTGACCTTTTGATTCGGACTTATGTTTGATTCGGTTTTATGTTAATATGATTTCTGTACCTATGTTTATGGTCATGTTTATATTTTGTTGTCTTAAAAGCCCATATGGGCTGGGCGACAAAGGTCGCAAGACGAGTAAATAAAAATACATTCATTCATCCATTCATCCTTTCATTCATTCATCTTTCTTAGGTGTGTTCTACCCTTTGAATCAGGTCCATATAAAACATGTGTTAAGTTTTACATACGTTTTACAAATTGTCTTAATGTCGCTTTTTGCATCCACTTTTTACCTTACCATAATGCTGGCGTCCTAAATTACCATTTTTTGTAATGCTTAATGGTTAACAAGGTATACGTATTCATTCTTGTATTTACCACAAGGGCCATGAGGAGCTAACGTCTACAATACACTTCTCCTTCGTCTTTTTTTATAGTTCTTGCTAAATGTGGGGTCGGCGAGTACCGGTGTGCCAACGGTGTGACCTGTATAAACGCCTGGAAACGGTGTGACGGAAACAGCGACTGTACAGACAACAGTGATGAGGATGCAACAAACTGTGGTAAGTACGATGGCGATTCCCACTTGTACAATTGCCCAGGGTTCCAATTTCCCCTTTGACATGTACATGAAGTTGAATAAAGCCTATCTCAAACCACGCTGATCTCTGTTAGACAAAAAATGTGATGTCGCTAACGAAAAACTGTTCCCTGTTTTGTTTTGTCAACTGGCTCTAGCTACTTATTGGTTCCGCCTAAAATAACAACACTTTTTTTTTCCTTTTTCCAACTCTTGCAGTTTAAGTATAATGACGGACATGATCGAGCTAAAAATGACAGTAAATGTGATCGGATTTTCTCATCCAGAATCGTATTTTTTTTGTTTTGCCAATGCCTTTATATTATTTTATGGCTTTAGTGAAAAAGATTTTTCCTTTGCAGTTTGTGAACTTATTCCATCGTCCTTGACGAGGTGCAGAGGCCTTCACTACCGACGGATGACCCTTCCCAACCCACTCAACTTCGACCACACCAAGGTCACCCAGGTTGAGAACTCAGCAGGGTTCAATGAACTCATGGCCCTTGCAGATTTAGATTGTCACCCCCGTGTGAGGGACCTCGTCTGTGCTACTATTGTACCGCGCTGCAAGTCCAGGTACATCATTTTTTAACCCTTGTCCTGCTGGCAATTTTTACACTATTTTTTCTACAATTTCATTCTTTATTATGTCATAGACCTCCAACTTTTTTCGCCCTGCAGTGGCATAGTCACTTCCGCATCCGTTGCGTTTCGTTGCGATGTAATGCATTGCACGAGAAATACCCCAAAATCGTACATTTGCAGAGTAATAAATAGATGGTACTGTATGTGCAAAACAAAAATTGTTGTGCTCCATATGACAAGGGTTTTCATGTGCGTCCTAAACCAAGTTCTAATTCTGTTGTTGTTTTCATGTTTGCGTTTTGTTTACTAAAACACACCTGAATGCTTATATACTTTTATGAAAGAAAACGCAATTCAAACATATGATTGACCAGTCTTGTAGAATTGTTTCTTTTCACATGCATTTAACCTGTACCATAGTTTAGTAACAATTTTGTTTCTTTATTCATCCATACATTTATTTCGTCAATCAAACGAATTCCCTAATATGCTATTTATTTATTATTTATGATATATTATAATAGATTGAGACGTAGAAATAAAATAATATATCAAGATACAACAATATGGTACAAATAACTATGCGATGACATGTGCAGCCAAAAAGAAGTTACTGAAGCAACTGGATATGATTTTGAAAATCATATCCAGTTGCTTGAGTAACTGCTTTTTGGTGTATCGTATTACCTGGATGTATAACCTTTATCGACGATTACATGTTTTTTTTTTTACAATTTCCTTTATGTTTCAGACCAACCCACCGACAACTGCTTCCATGTCGCTCTTGGTGTGAAGAAGTGAAGTCCTCGTGTGAACATGAGAACGCCTGGTCAGCTTTTCCAAGCTGTGAGATTTTCCCCCACACCAACTGTAACAACATCGTGGCTTCAAAAACTCCGGAAAATGGTAAGTCTTTTAAATGTCTTTTTGTTCATTTATTTCAGCTATGCCACAGAATGTGACTGAACAGGGGATACAGCCCTTTCACCTCCCACTCATACTCCCAAAGTAAAAACATTTTAGTAGATAAACGATTCATACTATTAAACGTACAATAATGAAAAAGGGATAAATATATTTTTTTTTAATTTACTTAAGATTCACCTTAAAACAAGGCTCGTGAGAGCCACTTACATGTTTTGGGTTACAGTGATGACTGCGTGGTCAGATATTTGTTCACCCTTGATTTAAACCGTTGGAGGTTGTAATTAGCGGTGAAACATTCACGGGGAAGCTTGTTCCACAGTGAAGTGGGTCTGGGGAAGAAACTGTCAGCATGAAATTTTCTCTTGACTGATGGACTATTGAGGAAGAAAGGGTGATTTTCTGCTGTTAAGGTGGCTAAGAATGTTCTGAGTGGGGGTACGAGGGAGTGAAGTTCAGCATATAATTATGCAAAAACATATACACTTAAAGAAACAACGTAAATACAAAATACAGAACTAGGTGGTCACCACTGTTTAATACTTAACACGACTTTCATACAGGGCAAATGATAATATAAAGATCATAACAATAATAACAATATTAAGAAATACTCTACAGGAATCTAAGACCAGAGGATTTGTCAGAAGGATAATTATTGGTCAAATGTATCCATCCGTTAGATGTACAATGATGTTTTGTTTTTAGCAAACTATATATGAATGAGCCTGTTGATAAGGTCAAAATTATATCCTGTATCCTACAGCCACAGCCACAACACACGTCATGCTAGCAGAAACACATACTGTTTAATGAAACCTAAAACGAACGCCCTGAAGAAGACTTTCATTTATAGATTAATAACAGTTTGGAATACTTTGCCACATGAGGTACAAGCAGCATCTAAGAGTAGGTTTAGGCAGGAGTTGTTAGAGCACATGCGTACATAGGCACATGTTGATACTATAAGGCATATGTGATGTTACTGTTAAATGCTGTATGTAAATAATGTAATTTTGATGAAGTGTATTTGTACTATTGTTATTTACTTTAACGCCAGGAAGATTAGCTACATACTTGATTTTGTGCCAATGTCTTGTGTGTCGCTAATAGAGTTTAATGAAGCACATAAAGCACACTTCAGAACCTTGTTTCCATTTTTACCGTTACAGAGGAGTGTTTCGATGGAAATGGTGCAAATTACAGAGGAGACGAGGCAAGAGGGCCTGTAGCGGGGGTTGACTGTGAACGATGGGACAGTGATCCAAGGTACATACAGTTGTATCCATGGGCAAACCTCGTGGATAACAAATGTCGCAACCCGGAAAATGACACCAGACCATGGTGCATCACTCCAGGTGGATTCGAGTACTGTGACATCATTCCTTGCAACGGTAAGTTGTCAAGTCAAATTAATTGATAACTAGAGAAGTAACATAATGTTTACCTTCGGACATGGTCTGCCCTGTTAATTTTTACTCAAACATATTCACATACATGTACATGTACTACTAGTATATGGTGACAGGAGCAGAGCAGACCATGAAGTTTGCAACATTATGTAACTCAACACCAGTCACCATGGTGACAGACGTCAACAAATCATGTCATTGGCCAGGTCATAGGTTAGAGTTTGGAGAAGAGGAAATTGAGTAAAAACAATATGTTTTCTTTCGGTAAACATAATAATCAGAGAATGAAGTGACATGAACAAAGTAATGGAGAAATATAAGATTTCAAAATAAACTTTTTTATAACACTTTTACACTTTTAGTACCTATGGTGGAGAATACAGACGCTATGTTACGTATATATTAAAAATGTTTAAAATATACTCTAGCGTTTGACATTGAACCCTGCTGAGTTCTCAACCTGGGTGACCGTGGTGTGTTCGAAGTTGAGTGGGTTGGGAAGGGTCATCCTTCGGTAGTGAAGGCCCCTGCACTGCGTCAAGGACGATGGAATAAGTTCACAAACTGCAAAGGAAAAATCTTTTTCACTAAAGCCATAAAAAATATATAGGCATTGGCAAAAAAAATACGATTCTGGATGGGAAAATCTGATCACATTTACTGTCATTTTTAGCTCGATCATGTCCGACATTATACTTTAAACTTCAAGAGTTGGAAAAAGGAAAAAAAGGTTTCGTTATTTTAGGCGGAACCAATAAGTAGATAGAGTCAGTTGACAAAGCAAAACTACAGGGAACAATTTTTCGTTAGCGACATCACATTTTTTTTTGCCTAACAGAGATCAGCGTGGTTTGGGTTAGGCTTTATTCAACTTCATGTATATGTCAAAGGGGAGATTGGAACCCTGGGCAATTGTACAAGTGGGGATCGCCATCGTACTTACCACAGTTTGTTGTATCCTCATCACTCCCGTCTGTACAGTCGTTGTTTCCGTCACACCGTTTCCAGGCGTCTATACAGGTCACACCGTTGGCACACCGGTACTGGCCGACCCCACAATTAGCAAGAACTAAAAAAAAGACGAAAGAGAAGTATATTGTAGACGTTAGCTCCTCGCGGTCCTTGTGGCAATATACAAATATAAAAAAGAATGCAAACCTTGTTAAAATTTAGCATTACAAAAAAGTTGATCATCAGGAAGCCAGCATTATGGTAAGGTAAGAAAGGGGGGCAAAAAGCGACATTAAGACACTTTTGTAAAACGTTTGTAAAACTTAACACATGTTTTTATCATTATGGACTTGATTCAAAGGGTAGAACACACTTAAGAAAGATGAATGGATGAATGAATGAATGAATGAATGAATGAATGAATGAATTTTTATTTACTTGTCTTGCGACCTTTGTCGCCCAGCCCATATGGGCTTTTAAGACACCAGAACATAAACATGACCATAAACATAGGTACAGAAATCATAGAAACATAAATTCAAGTCCAAATCAAAAGGTCAGACCGGAAACATCAAATGAATACAATATAGCATGAATACAAAAATAGCATAATTGGTACATACGAGTCAAACGTGCACAAAGTCAACTCAAATTGTCAAAAGTACATAAATGCTGTAAGTTTAAAGTGCTATAAGTGCAGTAAGTGTTACTATCATGAAAGTTCATATGTGTTGGTAGTTACATGTTTAAAGTTAAAGCTTTTGGTCCAGTCACTCTGGTCTTCCTCAATCTCCAGCTTCCCTGGGTCAGTCTACTGAGGAAGACCAGAGTGACTAGTCGAAAGCTCTAGGTGAGATAATTTTTTGTGTTGGACTAAAAGTTTTAACTCTAAACATTTAATCAGTCACCTTTATTTTCCGCTGCATAGCTGGCCTGAAATCCCTTCCAATTCACTTCGCTATCGGTGACAAGTCGAACGGTCATGAAGCTCCCGGTAGAAGTAACAGGACCAGGAATTTTTGCACCGTTTAGCTTAGCTGCAGTGTGAAAAAATGTTAAAGATAGTTTTATCTATATTATGGGTTTTGCAGATAACAGAATGCCAGAGTTCGATTTGAAGCATGTTTTTTTTCAACTATGTTTTAAATTATAATAGATACTATTCATAATTACATAACTTAGATTGCCAACTCCACTGTACCTATCAAGGACAGAATAATTGCTGTGTGATCAACATAGAATTAACTAGTACCCCTTGATGCCTACTTTTTCAGCTTTAGCGCGCTGAAAAGCTAAAAAGGAACAAACACACACATTCACACACATGAGCGCGCGTGCACACAGACACTGATACAGACACAAGTACACACACAGACACACACACAGACACACACACAGACACACACATACACACACGCGTATATACACACACGGACACACACATACACACAGGCATAATGCACACACTTATTACTTGCTACAAAAAGTTGGTTTCCTACCTAGCAGGTAAGTTGAATCAGTTGTGTTTCCATCATACACGTACACGTGGTCAAAGTCGTTCTCCACTTCAAAATCGGTGAAGGTAAGCTTTATAACTTTGGTAGGAGATACAGAGATCTGGTATCGACAGTCGTGGTTGTTTGGGTACTTGTTATATGAGAATATGATCAACTGATATAATCCATGCAAATGAGGCTCTTATTTACAAAATAAATGATTAAAATTGTATAATTTGTCACCCGCAAGAGTTAACACCATTTGGCGAAGGTATGAGGTCGTGGAACTCTTGTTTTCTATTGCGATATTGTAAAAACCATATGGTTAGAAGTAAACCTAAAAGAAAAACGTCATTGTATCAAATGTGGAAACACATTATCGTTATCCTTACACGGCATTATTTTTGGTTATACATGAAATTGAAAAAAATTATTATTATGAAATATTAATATTATTTTGAAAGTTTAAAATTTGCAAGTAAAACCACGGCAAATACAATGCAATATTGTTATATTGTTTGAAAACGAATATTTGTTGATGAGTTTACTGTGGACAATGTCATATGTAATATAGGTATTATTTGACTGTAAATCTCACTTGCAAATTAAAATAAAGGATTCGTAAGATAAAAAAAAACTTCGTATCCAGAAGGAAAAATGTTGCTATATATGTTGTTAACATGCATGTGTATCCTAATCTACGTAGCTTAGTTATCGATATAATATAAAATGATCACAAACTTGAACAAAACCTTTAAAGTTAATTACACACCTCAAATCAATAGTGGCTACTGGCTAAATTAGAGAGGTTTCTTATCAACCCAGATGACAGTATCTAAAATATCCTATTGTGTATTCCTAACACCAAGATGACATTCAAAGTGTATCAATTTCTTAACAAAGAAATTAAAAAAAAACACAACTTACATGTTTTGCATAGACATTATTTAGCATAAAAACTTTTAAGTTTAAGCTTTGCCCTAACATAATGTAACATATCAAACATGATGGGAAATTATTTAGAAAAAGGGAATTAATATAACTGACCATACCGTGATATGACATTACAGAGGATGCTGCTTCCATCCATCTATTATGTAAAATTAAAGATTAAAGAAATCGTCACTTAAAAAGTAAAAAGTTTAACTTTTTAAGTGACGATTTCTTTAATCTTCAACATAAATCACCAAAGCTTGTCATAGATAACATTTTCATTCATTATAATCCATTAGTTACGTAATCTACTGTTTATTACTTTCTGTGACCTTTGTGTTTAGGCTTATCGATTGTTATTTCCTTTTTCTCGGACAGATGGAAGTAGTTTTTCTACCTGGTAATTTTAAACCGGCCGATTTTTTGCCCTGGGCAACAACATAAGGAAGTGCTCCCATTGTGACCTTCCCAGCAGATTGAATAGTGAATTGGCCCATAAACTCATAAAAACCCAGGGCAGCCTATCCTTCAAAACAAATGCAGGATCATTTGCATACTGGTCAGTTTTCAAAGATTCCATTTTTTTATTATCTACTGGCTTTCAATGAAACATTTTCAAAAGGCAGACTGACTTAGATACTTATTACAAAGTCACATAAGCAAAGAAATTGCAAATTTTTGTTTGAAAAATCAACATTGATCAAATTCCAAATCAGCCCTGTCAAAGTTTTATCCAATGACATATATGGTGCCCCTACTATATACACTAAATAATTTCATGTATACTACATACATATTTATCTCAGAAACTGATGCTATTTGAACTTTGCTTTTGCATACTAGTTATATTTACCGAAGGAAAACATATTGTTTTTACTCAATTTCCTCTTTTTCTCCAAACACTAACCTCTGACCTGGCCAATGGCATGGTTTGTTGATGTCTGTCACCATGTTGACTGGTGTTGGGTTACATAATGTTGCAAACTTCATGGCCTGCTCTGCTCCTGTCACCATATACTAGTAGTATGTGAATGTGATTGAGTAAGAATTAACAGAGCAGACCATGTCCGAAGGTAAACATTATGCATTGGCTTTGCAAATGTTACATCTCTAGTTTTTTTTTTTCTTTTGTCTTAGGGCCCTACTGATGGGAGACTTGACCAAGAAGCTGAAAGATGAAGAGACAACAAAATACACCATTCGCAAGAACGCAACAGACATCGAAGGATATAACAACGCTGCAATGAAGACGGACGGCCATGGCTCACCAAGTGGAGGAGACCCCATCATCATCATTAGGCCGGGGATGCAAAATGAGGTCGCAGCTACCCTGGGTGGGTTAAAAGAAAGCGTGGATGACTTAAAGGTCAGTGTTAGCCAACTGTCTGGGAGCATCGATGGTCTGGCAAAGGCAAGTGGTGGTGATGACGAAGAAGAAGTTGGGGAGTATGCTTTGTTGGCCAGTGTGTTAGACAGGCTGAGTTTGGTCATTTATGTCATCGCCATTGTTGTGGCCGTTCCATGCACTCTGCTTATTGGTCGACCACACATTATCCCTGAATAAAGTAGAGAGAAACAGAGAGACAGAGAGAGAGAGAGACACACACACACACACACACACACAGAGAGAGAGAGAGGGAGAGGCACACTCACACAGAGAAAGAGAGAAACAAGCTCTGTTTCGTTGATAATTTTGAATGCAACCGGTTTCTTTTCATATTATCTGGTACTTGGAGAGAGAGAGAGAGATACACACACACAGAAGAGAGATAGGCTAGGCGTGCAGACACATGCAGAGAGAGAGACAGAGACAGAGAGAGACTTTGTTTCGTTGTTTAATTTTGAATGCAACCGGTTTCTTTTCATATTATCTGGTACTTGGGGAGAGAAACACACAGACACACACAAACACACACAGAGAAAGAGAGAGATAGAGACAGAAAGAAGAGAGATAGGCGCACAAACACATGCAGAGAGAGACAGACAGAGACTGTGTTTCGTTGCCTAATTTTGAATGCAACTGGTTTCTTTTCATATTATCTGGTACTTGGAGAGAGAGACACACACAGACACACACACACAAACACACAGAGAGAAAGGGGGAGAGAGAGATAGAGACAGAGAGAAGAGAGATAGGCGCACAAACACATGCAGGGAGAGAGGGAGGGGGGAGAGAGAGAGACTGTGTTTCGTTGCCTAATTTTGAATGCAACCAGTTTCTTTTCATATTATCTGGTACTTGGAAAGAGACACACAGAGACACACACACAGAGAGAAAGGGAGAGAGAGAGATAGAGACAGAGAGAAGAGAGATAGGCGCACAAACACATGCAGGAAGAGAGAGAGAGAGGGAGAGAGAGAGAGAGAGAGAGAGAGACTGTGTTTCGTTGCTTAATTTTAAATGCAGCCGGTTTCTTTTCATATTATCTGATACTTAGAGAGACACCAAGACACACGCACAGAGAAAGGGAGAGAGAGATAGAGACAGAAAGAAGAGAGAAAGGCGCACAAACACATGCAGGGAGAGAGAGAGAGAGACTGTGTTTTTCGTTGCCTAATTTTTAATGCAACCAGTTTTTTTTTAATATTATCTGGTACCTGGAGAGAGATAAAGGGAGAGAGATAGAGACAGAGAGAAGAGAGATAGGCGCACAAACACATGCAGGGAGAGAGAGGGGGAGAGAGAGAAAGAGAGAGAGATAGAGAGACTGTGTTTCGTTGCCTGCTTTTGAATGCAACAAGTTTCTTTTTTTATATTATCTGGTACTTGGGTCAATACATGGGTCCACAATATACCATTCTCCCTTGCAGAGCTATCTGCGCCAACTTAGATAGATCTGTGATGATAATGAAACAATTAAATATTTATATGCCGCGCGCCGCATGAATTAGAAAGAAGAAAATGTTTTATTAAAATTCAAAATTGCAGTTTATGTTGGTCTGTTACAAAGATGACCAAACAAAAATCTGTCTAAAAGAGGCCAGTAATACTATATAATGACCCCACCCTTCCAATATGAATTCGATAACATAAACTACCAGACTTCAGTCTTGTTCTGGCAGGCGTGCAGTGTACATGAGGGGGAGGCCAGTCTAAGACAGTTTGGCTTCAGTTGCCAAGTTAAGATTTCCCTTCAAGACACTTTAAAATGAGACACATTTACATATAAGACGCTATATTCACTAGTAACCTAGAATATGAAGTATAATAGTAATGACAGCTCTGGCTTGCCATGTTCTGGCCTGTAGCTTGAGATCTCGACTAGCAGTTACCTGCCCAGTTCTACATACAGAGCCTAAGTCCATACTGGTGTAACTTACTGCAAGTACGCATTGCATTTATAAGCCATATGTCAGACACAAAACTGCAAAAGCTAAAGACAGATACAACTAGACACTATAAAATTGATACAGCAAGCACATTACGTGTATATAGTACGGGCACCATATATGCCATTGGATAAAACTTTGACAGGGCTGATTTGAAAGTTGGAATTTGATCAAGGTTGATTTTTCAAACAAAAATTTGCATTTTTTTTTTGCTTATTTGACTTTGTAACAAGTATCTAGGTCATTCTGCCTTTTGAAAATGTTTCATTGAAAGCCAGTAGCTAATAAAAAAAATGAATCTTTGAAAACTGACCAGTATGCAAATGATCCTGCCTTTGTTCTGAAGGATAGGCTGCCCTGGGTTTTTATGAGTTTATGGGCCAATTCTCTATTGAATCTGCTGGGAAGGTCACAGTTGGAGCAATTCCTTATTGTTGTTGCCCAGGGCAAAAAATCGGCCGGTTAAAATTACCAGATGAAAAAAACTACTTCCATCTGTCCGAGAAAAAGGAAATAACAATCGATAAGCCTAAACACAAAGGTCACAGAAAGTAATAGACAGTAGATTAAGTAACTAATGGATTATAATGCATGGATATACGTAATCTATGACAAGCTTTGGTGATTTATGTTTTCATTTTTTAAGTGACGATTTCTTTAATCTTTAATTTTACATAATAGATAGATGGAAGCAGCATCTTCTGAAATGTCATGTTATGGTATGGTCAGTTATATTATTTCCTTTTTTTCTAAATAATTTCCCATCATGTTTAATATGTTACATTATGTTATGGAGGGCAAAGCTTAAACTTAAAAGTTTTTATGCTAAATAATGTCATATGCAAAACATGTAAGTTTTTTGTATTTCTTTGTTAAGACATTGATACACTTTACATGTCATTTTGGTGTTAGGATTACATAATAGGATATTTTAGATACTGTCATCTGGGTTGACATGAAACCTTTTTAATTTAGCCAGTAGCCACTATTGATTTGAAGTGTGTAATTAACTTTAAAGGTTTTTTTTTTCAAGTTTGTGATCATTTTATATTATATAGATAACTAAGCTACATAGATTAGTATACACATGCATGTCAACATATATAGCAACATTTCTCTCTTGGTACGAAGTTATTTTTTAACTTAGGAATCCTTTATTTGCAAGTGAGATTCGCAGTCAAATAATACCTATATTACATATGACACTGTCTACAGTAAACTCATCAAAAATATTCGTTTTCAAACAATATAACAATATTGTATTGTATCTACCGCAGTTTTACTTGCAAATTTTAGACTTTCAAAATAATATTAATATGTTATAATAATGACTTTTTTCTTAAATTTCATGTATAACCAAAAAAATGCCGTGTAAGGATAACGATTATGCGTTTCCACATTTGATACAATAACGTTTTTCTCCTTCTAATCTTATGGTTTTTACTGTATCGCAATAGAAAAAAAAATGTTCCGCATAGTCCAAATGAGGTACAAAACTGAAATACCCTGTTTATGTAATTTAACCCTAGTCGGGTAGACATTCTGTAGCAATGTAGTGACTAATTCCTGTGAGCCTTTATTACAAAAAAATGACATTATCTTCACGGGAGTGGTTTGAAAACTCCCCAGTTGATGTGACTGTTTTCTGTGAAATTACGATGATTTTGAAAAATGAATTAGCCTGAACATAAACTTCTTTTTCATATAGTCTTTTCGTAGGCACTTCACTTTCTGTAAATAAATGTAACGTTATATTGAGAAACACATCTTCATTTGAAAGGAATCTTTGTATTGAAACAATAAACAAGGATGATCCTAACATTTTTTAAAATGTCACCTAATGACATAAGAAGTCCTGGCATGGGTTATCTACGATATCATTAATATACAAAATATACTTCTATATTACTATACAAGTATAACATTATACCTTGGGTGATACATTTATTATTCCACAAGTGATCTAACCATACGTTCACTTACTTTCTTGATATCGTATTTCTAATGTTTATTTTATCATTTTTAACAGTAAATAAACATGGGTGTATAAATGGTAACATGCTGTCATGTCATCTTTATCGGGATAAAAATTAACTCAGATAGAAATAAAAGAATGTTTCCTGTAGATAAAAAGCTTATAACTTATGTTATCTCTTTTTGTTTCAACACGCTCAATATGTGACTATTCAAACATCCACCAATTTCCACTTCCCATAATGCCTCGTAACGGTCACGGATATGCATGGATATGACGTAAGACCATCCCCCCTCCCCCTTCTTCGATGTAATATTTCCAACAAATTCTATCGACAAAGTGGTCAGCTATTGTGTTTACTTATTTATCTCGTATAAAGCACATGCCATAATTGCATTTTTGTTGGAATTAGAGAAAATGACGTACCTTCTATCGTTCCACCTTCTACCCGAAGACTGACTCCTACTCGCACGGCCGTCTTCGGTAGAAAGTGGAACGATAGAAGGTACATCATTTTCTCTAATTCCAACAAAAATGCAATTATAGCATGTGCTTTATACTAGATAAATAATTCAAAACAATAGTTGACCAGTTTGGCGATGGAATTTGTTGGGAATATTACATCGAGGAAGGGGGAGGGGGAATGGTCTTACGTCATATCCCTGCATATCCGTGACCGTTACTACGCATTATGGGAAGGGTGAAATTGGTGAATTGGGATTCAGGCGAGCTGTATACATAACGTCATACCATGTTTAGTGTTGTAAAAGGTTCAACTTTATTTTAACACAAGGATTGCACAGACATAGTTTTCAACGACCATTTTCACCTTCATCAGGATAATAAATAACCAATCACTTTAAAGGTAATCTCGCGAGAGTTACGGTTACAGACACGTGATCTTATTCACTCGAGGTCACGTGTCTGTAACCGTAACTCTCGCAAGATTACATTTTGAAGTGATTTGTCATTAATCATCCTAATGCGGGCGATACTGTTCTTTGAAAAATTAATCTTTGTGTAATCATTGTGTTGGAATAAAGTTCAACATTTTACAATGATTACTACAAACGCAAATTTTAACTTTCATGACAACTTGTTTATTGTTCAAATCCCTTGGAATAGCTTGTCAGCATCCAAATCAACCATACGACATAAAAAAAAAACGTCGTAACACTAGTGCAGTGAAGTCTTTATTTTCTTGAATAGAACTGAATTGATATGTAAATACCTTTCATTTGTGAACGCATTTATAGCACCGACACCTGTGCCGTCTATTGTGAACCAGTCAGAATTACCCTGAGGAAGGTAACAGATGGACACCGATACGTAAAACACCTGATTGTCATGCGGGGCCCATATATTTATATGGTTGGACATACAGCACCATCTATATAGTACCATGTACATGTACGATTTTGTTTTTGTTTTCTCGTGCAATGCATCACACCACACCAAAACGCAACGAATGCGGACGTATGCCATCACGTGGCAAAAAAAAAGTCGAGGGTCTGTGATTTCAAATTATTTGAAAATATTGCGTTAAAAATGCCAGCAGTACAGGGGTTAAGAAAAGCTTTTAGCTTGAACGAACATAGTTGGTTTTTTTTTTGTAACAATATGCAATGGGTGGTAATTTTGTATAGAATGCATGCGTCATACCGTAATACCCTTTGAAGAAAAACCTGTTCAACAAGTCTACCTCCTCCCGATTCTAATTCTTTTTGTGTATTATTCATATTACAAATACTTAACGTTAAAATGTTGTATAAGACTACATGTCCCAGTGCTACTTGTATCGAATGATAAAAGTCGGTAATTTGCTACCATCTTTTGTGGCAAAAGGGACAATTTTTTAAGTAATTGTCACAATCCGTGGCCTAACACATAGTGGGAAAACGGATTTAAATACTCTGATAAATATTTTAAACAAATTATCTTCTTCTTGTGTATTTTTTTAACGATTTTCAAGTCAGTTACGCACATTAAAGAACAACTACGTACAAGCACGGTGGGTATTTGACACAAAAGGATCGCAAAGTTGTATAACATATTACGTATAGACTAAATTGTCTCCGGATCGAGTTTAGCCGCCTGATTACAAGACAAGGACCGCGTTACTTGTGACCCAGATGACGTCACTAGGGCTAAGAGCTTATTAACATGTGACAGAACAAAAAAACGGGTGGGGCTTTTGTCGTCTTTCAACAGACCGCCTGCCGACACAAGGTAAGTCTGTGGCTTTTTGTTCGAGAAATCGACGATTCTATCTTATCTTCTTCATTATATCTTTTATACTGTTTTCATGGCTATAACTGTCCTCAATAGTATACGTTGATTGTGTTTATCTTAGCATCAGGTGTGTTTTTCTTTGTCAAGCTATAATTTCATACGTGCATGCAGCTGTGAATAGTTTCGATGCTTATCTCACTTCGCTAAATCTTGATATTCATCCGGTGTCTAAATGCTATCTGTCTTCGTTGAATATTTCAAATGGCATAAAGACGTTGAAAAAAAAACGAAGGCAAAGAAGAAATAATAAGGTTCTCTAAATGTGTTCAATGTGTCAAGCCGCTGCCCCACTTCCCGCACATTTTTCTGACCTCGCCCTAGATCACTAACCAACCAAAGTTTGAGATAGGTTTAGAACATTCTGAACGTGTTAAGTCGTGGCTAATGTCTAGCATTCTAAACGACAATGTCCTGACTATTTCGGAACATGTACATTAGTTAAGAGTTCTCAACTGAGCTCCGAATGTTTTCCAACCTACTCCCAACAACCCTAAAAATGCAGACCGCCCGACACTCTTCTAACCGAATCCCAACATTCTATCAACTTTCTGACAAGTTGCTATGTATTTCATCAGCCTTTAAAAAGTACTTTATTACTTGGCATCTGATCTTCTTTTATATATTGGCAGAGAATGTGGAAATTTAGGTATGATGAAGGAGACGCATGTTAAGAAAGATTTTAGCGATCGTTGTCATGCTGGCTTGCAGCAAAACAAAAACCGGTTCAACAAGTATAATTACCCCCAGCCGAATTCTCGAGGTAGTGCCCGGAAAAACAGTGACGAAGGGGTTCCGATGGTTCATGTTTGAGTTAAAAATTCTCATAATCTGCTGCAAAATGGTATTAACTACTAACATGGCTGGAAAGTGTAAGAAGTGGCGTGTTTTGGGTGAAAATTGATTTCGGGTCCGAGGTTTACTTCCGGGTGTCCTTCCGCCTTCAGCGCGGTGCTTCGGTTTGACCTAGATATGCCTTGTATGCGTTCTGGGGGTGCTGTCGCTATGCCTCGCGCGACGGGCTATTGTGATAATTTCAGTGTTGGGATTTTCTTTATACTTTTATTAATAATGCATAAGGGTTTTCTCTTTCCGACAATATCAGTCATATCGGTGGCTAAATTCTGGGTGATGGGTTTAATTACACGTGAAAATAGCCAATTTTTGGCATCGAAAAATTCTTTTCCCCCTTTAAAATTTACTAGAATGTGAGAAATGAAAGAAATTGAAATTCTATTATTCTCGTAGCTAGAGAAATATCCTTTATTTGCAAACACAGTGTTTTGGCTTAAGAGGTATTTCCTGAAAGAGACGGTCGCTAGAGTTGAGGGTATGCAGAATCGAATTGAGAGCCAAAATAAACTGTGGTGTGCCCCCTTCTCTATGATTAGACACCGTACCCAAATCCTCACGTGTGACACTTGCAGATGCAACAAAACAACTCGGACTGATAAAGTATAGGTTTACTTGTATCTGTTATCTTTATGTCATCGCTTACTGCACTTAGAAACATATGCGTTGTTGATGTAAACAGCAATTTTAGAAGATCTAGGGTACAGTCTTGATTTCAACTAGAAAGGCAGGTATTGTCTATACCTATGTCTGTCTCCAAAATGCACTGTTCTGTACAATTTTTTTTTCAAAATGATAGTGCTCTTCGAAATGGAATGTTGTTGTTGTCCCAGTTTCGACACAATGCACGAGATACTAATACCTATTCTTCTACCAAATTAAACTATAAAATGGACAAAGGGCCAATTGTAATTTTGGCGACGACCCAGGGGCGAGGCTTACAGTACAGCATAGTGTGATCTGTCTTCTGTGTCATGAATTCTTAGACGATTTTAATATGTGATCACCCCAGAAATGTGTTGCTAGCATTTGTAGTTTATTTTTTTATGTATAGATAAGGCCACACCAAGTAAATTTTATGGATGACGTCCTTTGGAGACCCTAAATCTTATGCGAGAGGGCGAAAAAAAAGAAGGGCCCTAAAAAACAAGATGCCTAGATTAGAAATACACTAAGAGACGACAAATGTTAGGACACAAATAATTTGAATGAGGTGACACAGTGTAACAAGCAAGAAGTCTTTTATTCATCATCAAAACAGCCATAAATCAGGTGGAACAGCAGTTGTCGTCCTGTCCTGTTTCCTTTCTTTAATCACATCTTCCCTTGTCCCACTGTTGTGACTCTTTGGTCATAGTTACAGGAAGCGGAATTTCTTTTTTTTTCTAGGAAAAGGCCAAAATCAATGCGCGCGCGGACGTCATCCATAAAATTTACTTGGTGTGGCCTAAGCTAATATGGGTCGGAACAATGGGTTATGTTTAACAGGCCTGATTAGTAAAAAATAGTACTCAACGTATAGTATGTATTTTTTTGACATATTTTGATTGCAAAGTAAATTAAAAAACATACTAAATGTCTCGATGGTTTATGTAAGAGCCAATTTGATTTCTAAGATATAAATACAATAGGGGGAATCTTTTGAATGAGAAAAATTGATAAATCTACTACGGTACCATGTTTTTTTTTAACTTTTTTTGTCCCCAGTTCACATAATGTGGACACTAGTGTGGTTTGCCGTGGTCGGTCCCTGCCTTCTGCCTAAAGGCGTGTCCTCCCAAACACGTAAGTAACTGTGACAATTTTACTTCATTTTTTTCTTTCCTTCCTCTCCTAGTATTATTATATGGTGATTTTGATATAAGTGATACATAGCCGATATTTTGTTATATGTGTTGAGTATCTGACAAAATATCTATTTTCCTTTTTTCACGGCCGTTATATCATAAAAAAAACTCTGTACTAGCTGAAAAACCGCTGAAAAACTCGGTACGAGCCGACAATCGGCGCCCGTATGATTCCAGCTAACGATTACTTGTGCCACAAACTTCTGGGATAAACTCAATCCTCGACCGCGTGTTTTTTATTTTTTTTTTGGCGCTGATTGGTCACTTCGGTCGGAAGACGCGCGGATATTGTATCCCTGTCCGGGCTTAACTAAATCATATTCGGGCGTTCCGCCCAGCCTAAATTCGAATTTTGTGGGGTCGTGTGGCGTAGCGACAGAGTGCTCGACTCGGAACCTAGAGGTCCCTGGTTCGGATCCTGTCATGCCACCGATCTTGTGCCCTTGGGAAAGGCAATTGTGCAAATTAGGATGGATTGTATTGTCCCCTGTATTGTTGGCGGCATTAGTATAAGATAAAACAACTTGAGTGTGCCTTCACAACGTCGTGTGATTACATGTTGGAAAAAAACTATTTCCTTTTACATTGTGTATATTTTAAATTTCTCCGTTCGTCTTCATCGAAAAAATATGCACATGTGAGGTTTTTTTTTGTTTTGTTGGCCGTATATAAAATATGTATTTAAGTACATGAGGCATCTATACTTTTTTTTTCTTCTCTCTTATTAGTGTGCGAAAGCCTTACTGGTGCCAGTGGGTCCTTCAACAGTTCAAATTACCCAAACAACTATCCTGACGACCATGACTGCCGATATGTGATCTCTGTCTCTCCGCCTAAAGTCGTCAAGTTGACCTTCACGGAATTTGCCGTTGAGGAAGACTACGACTTCGTGTACGTGTATGACGGAAACACAACTGCGTCCGGATTTCAGATAGGTGAGGACAATTGTATTATAACTTATTGAGCAAGTATTGTGAGAGTGTTTAATTTTTTATTCAATCTTTATTTATTTGTAACCATAGGGCTGAATGCTTGTTACATGTATATCGGAACTGAGTAACATAGTACATGCAATAGAATAAAAAGATGTTTTAACTGCAAACTACTAGGACAAATCAGGACCGTTAACAGTCATTGTAGTAATAATTTTAAAATGGTTTTAATTGCTTATTACTTCTTGACGTTATATTTTCCGGCTATGGCCTTGCATCCTTCCCCAGCCAATACAAGTCCATCACACATTTTCTGTCGTACATTTCGTAGTTAAAATGCGGTATGGTTGATGGAGTTGTAAAATCATTTAGATTGCGAATCGAGCAACTATACTTTTGATGATTACAAATGAAACTCCAATGTGTTATCTACCTAAAATGCCCAGTGCTTCCCCTAAAGGTTTTTTTTTTCACCCTACAGCAAAACTAACTGGCACAACTATCCCCAAACCTGTAACCTCTACCGGCAGCTTCATGACTGTACGACTTGTCTCCGATACATCCACTAACCAGAAGGGATTCCTGGCTAACTATGCAGCTGAAGATAAAGGTATGCGTACTACAAACGAGCTAATTATAAAGTTGTACAGTGCTATTGCTCTACAGCACTTAAGTTCTACAAAATAACAATGACTATTACAGATCATGTGTGAAATGTCAAAATTTCATTGACAATTCAATATTTTTTTACCATTTTTATGGATTTCGAATAATACAATTTTTTTACAACTCAGCCACAATAATTGCCTAAACTGCCTGCAGACCAATTTGAGTTTCTGATTAACAAATAACTGATTAAACAATATTTTCTAAACGTTATGGCATAATTTGGGCACACTAGTTTCCTTTGCGAAATGTACAAAGTTAGTAATGTTAAAATTATGACAAGGAATATCAGGTTTTAATACAAGTCGTAAAAGCTACTTTAGTCATATTTTGCTTAAACAAGACAATACATGCGTTGTTAAACCTTTGTTAGTACATCAGCATAACAATGACGGCTATTGGTGTACATGTTTCTTTTGATTTAATACATGTGTTTACTTTGATCTCCAGTATTCTCTAACTGTGAGGTTGGCAAGTACCGGTGTGCCAACGGTGTGACCTGTATAGACGCCTGGAAACGGTGTGACGGAAACAACGACTGCAGAGACGGGAGTGATGAGGATGGAAGCCACTGTAGTATGTATAGTTTGTAATAAAAGAAAAAAAAAACTCCGTAAATAATTTCATCAGGTTGGTAAACGACTGAATAGCAACGTTCTTTCCATCACAACCAGTTTTTTTTCAAGCCAACGTTTCGATGACCTTCTGTCATCTTCATCAAAGCAATACTCAGTTTTGCCCTAATGAAGATAATAATAATGACAGTAATACTCAGTATTGCCCTGATGAAGATAATAATAATGACAGTAATACTCAGTATTGCCCTGATGAAGATGACAGAAGATCATCGAAACGTTGGCTTGAAAAATAAATGGTTGTGATAGAAAGAACTTTGCTATTCATATTTAAAAAAAAATGTTGTTTTTTACAACATGTTTGGAGTCAGATTTTGTCCCCAGTGCCGTAACCCAACAGTGTGCGCAGCTGCGAGCTGGTATTTTACCTATCAATATTGAAACTGGACGGTACCAGGGAATTCCTGAGGAAAATAGAATCTGTACCATGCGTGACCTGGGTGGAGTAGAAAACGAAACACATTTTCTTTTTTACTGTCCCCTTTATGACAATCTTCGAGAAAATGTGTTTCGTAAAATTTCGCTGGAAAGCGCACGACACGAAAATAAAGTTTCATTCATTCATTCATTCATTCATTCATTCATTCATTCATTCATTCATTCATTCATTCATTCCCAACAGATGTGGGGGTGATTTGACCCTTTACCTTTGTATGCAATGCTGATGTTTTCTGGGTTATTGTAAAATTGTAGACTAGTAAAATAAATGCAGCACCCACTATTCCAACACATTCTAATGCAAAGAACTCCCAGCAGGACAGTGTTTGCAAGATTCTTGTTATAGGGATTGGTCTTGGACAAAATTGTCATATGTTTTTTTTTTCCATTTTAAACATATGTTTCCTCCTATACCTCAGTCATCTTATACTTTCTGATATCAGATGCCTTCTATCGTAACACTTATGGGCTATCATGAAGTTAGGTTATCTGTAGTTATTACAATGTACTTGCATGTATATTCTGTATACACATATGCCTGTACTATGTATTATTTTATGAGTATGTACGTATACCTGAAATAAATACTAAATAAAATTAACTTTTACCTTTTTTCGTTTTGCTCAGCGTGTCAGAATATCCCGTCGTCCATGGTGATGTGCAGGGGCCTTGAGTACAGTAAGATGACCCTTCCCAACCCACTCAACTTCACCCACACCACTGTAGCCCAAGTTAAAAACTCAGCAAGGTTCAATGACCTCAAGACCCTTGGGGATTCAGACTGTCATCCCCGTATACAACAACTGATCTGTGCTACTGTTATACCTCGCTGCGAGTCCAGGTACTTTTTAAAAGATTTTAGTAATGGCTATTTGTTTACAAAACCCACTTATTATGCAGAATGTGTGACTATTCATTATCCACTGCCTTCAAAAAGAAGTCAAACCTCATAATAGATAGCGTAGTAGTAGAAGACAAGTAGTTGTCTGCTAATTATTATTGTCTTTTACCAAATAGTGTCTTTGACTGTGAAAGCAATTAGCCTTCAGGAATGATTTTGCAAATAGATATTTAAAGATTATTAGTAACACAGAACAGTTGTAGTTTTGGTAGTAACTATGTCTATGGGCATATGTAATTGCAAAGGCACTATGTCATAGTAACGTTAATTTCACCCCTTCTCTTTGGTGTGTATATAATGACATAATGCATTTGCCTCTTCAATTAGAAGTTATAAGAAATTATAAGTATGACATCTTTAAAAAAATCCAGGCGCAACAATAACCAGTGGTTGATAAACTGTGGTAACCGTCTATTATAATAGAAGGGCTATCTAGTTACTTTAAGATATACATTAGTGTTGTTGGAAAACTACGATAAGTAAATATGTCACTTGTTTAAATTTAAAACTTTTGATCCAACAAAAATAATTCTCTCACCTAGAGCTTTCGACTAGTCACTCTGGTCTTCCTCAGTAGACTGACCCAGTGAAGCTTGTCGCGTGACGTCTTTGAAGTCTGACGTCAACACTGGGTCAAATGTATCTTGTAGACTATGTCGGCCCCCGCCGCGGCTCAATGAAGGTTAAAATATGTCACTTGTTGTCATGGCAGTAGCAAAAGTAGAATAGGTCAATACTAACGATTTACCGGTATTTTTCTAGCCCAAATCGCCAACAACTGCCGTGTCGTTCTTGGTGTGAGGAAGTGAAGTCCTCGTGTGAGGAGGAAGACTCCTGGTCAGCTTTTCCAAGCTGTGAGATATTCCCCTACACCAACTGTAACAACATCGTGACTTCAAAACTGGATGGTGGTAAGTCTTTATCTATATAATTTTTTATGCATGATCTACTATATGTATGGATGACACAATTGTCAGCTTGCAGGTTTGCGTATTAATGCCACACATTTACAGTGAATATTTAGAGAATTTTTAAAACAGTACTTCTCTCACTTTAGTTGCTGATATCTTCAGTCACCTTCCTCGAACATTTTGATTGAAGTGCTGATTGTTGCCGCTATCCGTAACCATTAGGTGGCTCACAACTCCTGTCTTTATCGGTGTTCTCCCAACAAAAGCAGACAGGTTCACCGACTTTGGCTACAATTATATAAATAGAGGCGAGAAGTAGACTCCTGTGAGAAACTCCGAGAAAAGTGTCTATAGCTAAATTAAAAATGAACATGAAAAACAAGCAACAAGCTTTGGTTGTGTAAATCACAATATCCCATCTTCTAATAATCTGTCATGATCATCACACTTTCTGGTGGCTGCGCATGCAATACAGTATCCAATTGATAGTCTCCAGCAGACTCCTTTGCAGGCTAAATAGATAGTAGACATCGGCCTAAAAAGAACGTACCTGACCAGGGGAGTTGACAGACTATTGAGGGTCAAGTTTACGAGCTCACAGACTCTATACAGGCTAACTGGACCCTCTAAAACCTCCGAATCCCCTGGCCAGATACGTTCTTTTTAAGTCGTTTTTTTTCATATTGCAAAGGAGTCTGGTAGAGACTATGAAATTGGCAAGACAATATCAAATTGGCCAGGCACTCTTATCATTTAGTTATGATTAATATTCTACTGACCTGATAAAATCTTTTTAACGTTACAGTGGACTGCTTCGACGGAAATGGTGAAAATTACCGAGGAAACGCGGCGAGAGCTCCTATAGCCGGGGTAGCCTGTGAACGATGGGACAATGATCCAACCTACATGGAGCCCTATCCCTGGGCAAACCTCGTGGACAACAAATGTCGCAACCCAGACGGCGATGGGAGAGGTCCATGGTGCTTCACTTCAACCGGATTTGAATACTGTGACCTCATTCCTTGCAACAGTAAGTAGTTATAAATCATAAATTTATGGCCTAACACGGTATACTATAATAAAATACTTATTGCATGTTTATTTCCAAAAGTTATTTCCAACCAACAATGGTTACATTATGCATCGGAAATAGAATAAAACCATGTCTGTGCTAACATAAAATTCTACTTCCATTTATTGAATGTTCTGTCCTTTTTTAAACGTAGACTATTAACGTATGCATCTGTGGCAGAAATAAGACAAAACAAAATAAAACACGAGAGAGTGACAGTTATCAGAGATATCTTTAAATATCTTGTTTTTGTTTCAAAATTGTATAAATGATACTGGCAGATACAATAAATGTATCGTTCATTGCTTTCTCTTACTCTTACTTACAAAAGGAAATCCTTTCGTCTACTTTTGAAAGAAAAATATCTTATATGTATCTTATGAGAAAGTTATTCTTGGACCTGCCAAAGTGATAGTGATCTCTATGAAGTATGGCTAAATAAGACAGTTAGATAGTATTCCACTGGTAGAGAAGACAATAATGTATCAACTTGAATACATTTATTGTTTCGTTGACAATCCGCTATGTTACAGAAAATGTCATAACGTACTTTTCCTATAACATCCGTGTCCATAATATCACCAGGGTCCATATAATATCGCCACCTTGAGAAATAGTTTGCTTTAAGCTATTTTTACTGCAACATACTTTTGGTATGCACACCTGCACACCTCAAATGTACATACCTAGGGTATGTTGCAGTAAAATATATTTAAGCACATTTTTCTCAAGGTGGCGATATTATGGACGATGGTGATATTATGGACACAGATGTTATATGGGCTGAGCCCCTTTCAGTATTGCACGACTTCTTGCTCCAGAGACACTATCACTAAACAGTTGACAACGCAAGTTGTGCATACTTCCGTGTCAACCTAATAACTAAAGGAAAGTAGAATCTGAAGAAGGTAAAGGCTATTTTTATAATAGCTAAAATTATATTAAAATTATATAAATTTTCATGAAGCATTTTCATTGTTTGGCGTTACATTTGTCGTTCCTTCAGAACAAGGGTGCAAGGATCCAGGGAAGCCCCAGTATGGAAAAAGGAGCCCAGTCTTAAAGTTCTACTGGCCTGAGGACCGAATTACTTACACCTGTAATGCTGGATTCAAGTTCAAGGAAAACTCCCCACCAAACAAAGCTAAATGTGTGTATAATAACAAAACAGGAGAAGCCGAATGGGAAACAGCAACACCAGACTGCGAAGGTATGATAAAGTAGCAAATTTTTACCTTGTAGAAAAAAGATATCCATCCGCGCCCGCAACACCTTACCGTTTTTGGGGTTGTGTACTGGCAGGTGTAGCTTACGATACCCATTGACGGATTTTTTTGGAAATTTTGGTATATGATTCCTGCTTGATTCCAGGTAATACATGTTTTTGTTGTAAAGGAATTTTCCATGCGTTTTTTTTTTTTTTTGTGTGTACAAACGCAAAGAATGCACCGTTTACAAAAGTCACCAATATGCCTGTAAATTCCTTCAGGAAGTTGTGGCGTGAAACATTAGTATCGTTATTTTTTAAGAAATACAGATTAAGATACGAACAAGGTACCAGATCCAACACTTGTGTGTTTTGCACGAGGTATGTGTAAAAATGTGTAGTAGTTAGAATAGCAAATTTCCTTTTTATCACAACCATTTATTTTTCAAGCCGACGTTTCTACGACCTTCTGTCATCCTTATCAGGGAATTCTGACTGGTTTACTGTGCACTGACACTAGATGTTACTTGGTGCATAGTGCACTAAAGGTGTCACATAGTTCATAGTGCACCTAAGCTAGTTTTTTTTCTTCTGTTTACAATACATGCCGGAACGTAGTGCTGTGACATACATGCTAGGCATTGTTACATCATCCTTATGGGGAAATATGCGGTTTCTAATGTTAAGGTATTTCTATATATAGTATAAGATTTGTTAACTGACAATACTAAGCTATCACAGTCCCAAATAGAAATTATCAAAAGTCTTGTTACATTTGTATTGTTAATTATGTAAATTGTATCTTGATGCAATGACCCTTAATGACCTCAATAAAATGCGGCTCACAAAAATTGTAGAATTAATTTAACATTTTAATGTTTTTTTTTCCTTTTTCAGTCGATCAAAATTACAAGCTCCAAAAGGACCTTCTGAGCTCGGATGTTTACAACAAGGCGGTGTCTCCAACTAAAAGTTTGGAAATAAAGGCATATGTTGTCAACGTCATCAATTTGGTAAGTAGTAAAATATCCGACTATATTAATCTTATTTATTGATGTGGCGTAAATTTAATGAAGGTTCCCATGTGAGCCTGCCTTTGTATATATTTAATTAACATATAATATTGTATGATGTACGTCATTTGGGTTTGCATTTCAGATTAAGATTATGCCTTCTATCCCTAGTATTGAAAATCAAAAACTTTTATCAATTTTCCAATATTATTCAGGACGAGAAGGCTGAACAGATAGTAACATCATTCAAGGCAATATACGTAAGTTTATTTTTAGTAGTTGCAGTGTAATATGACTTCTTGTTTGTAACCTTGTCCACTGGCTTTATAAAATTAGTAAGACCGTGTTAACTTGATTATACTAAAGACATCCGCGTGCACAAGATTTTTCGTGTGTTCACTAGTCTCGGTACTATTTACAGTACTAGTCTCAGAAAGGTCTCCCATGCTTCTTATGCAGAGCGTAGGGTGGTGCCCATATCCATTTCTGTAGCCCTTGGGCGACACACAATTGTGCAATGCACTACAGCAGGGGGCTCGTCCGCTGGTAGTGCTGTGTGTTTGACCTCGCCACACTTTTTCTCATATGATTGTGCTGAGTGCTAAGCAGAGAAGAAGTGTGTACCATTTTTAAAGTCTTTGGTATGACCCGGCCGGGGTTTGAACTCACGACCTCCCGGTTACAAAGCGAGCACTCTACCAATTGAGCTATTGCACCGGTCTCATAGCTAGAAAAAAATAATTTACATATAGCTGGTCTTCATAACATATCGAATGCAATATGGAGCCTTTGCAGTAAGGTTGTGTGGCGTAACAGTAGCGTTTGCTTCAGAACTAAGAGGTCCTGGGTTCAAACCCCGCCATGCCACCGATCTTGTGCCCTTTGGAAAGGCACTTAACACGACTTTACTCACTTTACTTAGCTGAAAATGTGTATTGTGTTGTCCATTGCGTTTGTGTCGGCATAAAATAACTTTTAAAACTTTAGTGTGCCGCCACCATGACTTGTGATGTGTATGTTACAGACATGGAAGGACGCCCGTCTGGAATGGGAACCAAAGGAATACGGAACACTTGACCATATCTTTGTTCTTGACGAACAAGTGTGGAAGCCAACGCTGACACTGGAAAGAAAGTAAATGTTTCCTCACTCTGTATTATGCAAAACCAGGAATCTCCAATTAACATCTGAGGAATGATAATACTTCAAACTCATGGAATGATTTTGCTTTTAAAAAGTTAATTTTAAGTTTAACAAAAGCTTTAAAGTACTCTGAGTCATACTCTTATTCTGAGACACAAGTTCAAATATCAAATATCTTTTAAATATAATATTATCGTACTATCCTGGGTAATATTCTGTAAAATTACAAAATTGTCCGTGTATTCTAAGTTCAATGTCATGACATCTTCTACCAGCGCAAACACTGACTACACCGGTGGATTTCCAAAGGCAGAGGTGAGAATGGAGCACACTGGAGAGGTGAACTGGCCTGTGGAAGCACTCTCCACAACAACCTGTACCCTGGACCCTTTCCTCTTCCCTCAGGACAACATGACATGTGCAGTGTGCTGGAGAGCTGGAGAAGAGTACAAAATAGGTAAGGCACGGTTTTAGCACAATCGAGTTTTTTCATGTAACCCACTTTTTGGTGAGCATCTACCACCTTCCTTGAGGCAATTCTGACTGATTATATACCTGTATACCTTCTCCCAAACAACCTGCAGTTCTCAATATTCTGACTTTTTCTAGCCCCTTATACATAAATATATGTGTGTGTGTTAGTCAGCAATTAACAGAGACGGGGGACGATATAAACTGGCTGACATGTTTGGCTGATGTCACGTTTTTCTATAGTCTCGTGTGAATTGGTTACGTGTCCGTAATTTTCACGGATCACACGAAAAAAATATCCTGATGACGGCGACAGCATTTACTTACTTGTTCTTCTCTAGTATGTGGCAGTGGTAAAACTTGCATCATTGTACCATATGAATAAAGTTTAACATTGCACCATTGTTACTACCCACAAAGATGAACACACATTACTATAGTTACTTATGCTCTCATGTAACGAATTGTTTGGCATTTCACTTTTTAGACTGTTCTAACTCAACAACGTATAAAGACAACAACCTGCTGACTTGTACAAACAACGAGGCTGACATCACTAGCGGAGAGTGGAGTGGGAAAACAACCCTTTCAGCTGTCAACAACACGGCCTGTCTGACCATGAGGCTCAAACGAGATCCCACCTATCACTACTCCACAACCATCTCTCCCTGTCTCATCCTTGTCGTCCTCATGGTCATCACCTTCATCATGCCCATTGATAAAGGAGACAGGATTGGATTCGGCGTCACCGTGCTGCTGTCCATGGTGGTGTCTCTGGTCGTCGTTACTGGCTTCCTGCCTGTGTCAACCAGCCTGCCATTCATCGGTAAGCTGCCCAAATAGTTTACTAAAACCCTTGTCCCACATTCACAACCTTTTGACTCCATTCCCGAAAATGAGCCGACCAGACTCTACCGGAGTTCTGTAGTTATCTTCGAATTTATGCCAGGCCTACCTTACCTATACGAATCAAAACGAATATGAGTTAATTCGAAGTCAAATTTGATTCATGTGGAAACCTTAACTACGATAAAGATTAAAATCATATAGAAAACGATTGCTGAATGAGATGTATACAGGATCCATGCGTTAATGTCCCAATAATAAAAAAAGTACAATTACAAACCTTTTGTGACCTGGCTTGGCAGAAATCTTCAAAACGACATAAAATATATCGATTGCCGTTGCACAGAATCTTCCGAACAACAACTGTACAAAAGCCTGTGAATGTAGCGATATGCATGGGCCATTATACATGTAGCTACATCGATTGTTTGACGTAGGGACCTTGTAGAAGTATCGTGTTGTCCATTCTATTAACTCATTTTTATTTGATGATGAACTCATACCTCATATTAAGGTTAATATGATAACGATCGCATGTTACTTTATGTTCTCTTCCAGCTATGCTGATCATTGTGTGCATGGCTCTGATGGCCCTCTTCATGCTGACGACTCTTTTCATCATCATCATTCACGACAAGAAGGGACCTGTCCCTAAATGGGTACGGACGGTCTTCCTGAAGCACGTAGCAAGGTATGTCAAAGATTCAAATACATTACCTGTCGTTAGATTAAATATATAGCTTACAAAATAAAACATGTCTTTTGGAAGTTTTGGTGTTAATTAAAGTATATTACATATAGCCGGGTGACGTTGACCAATCAGAATGCTCCATTCCACATTCCGTAATGTCAAAAATAGAGTCAATGCCTGTTATTTATTCATCCCAATCCATACATTAAACAACTCAATAATCACCCGCATATGACCTCAGGTGACCCACATAGAACATGGCTATCTTCTAAAAAATCCAAAAATAACTTGAGTTGTGTTCCAATGACCTCGAGTGATTCCCATAAGAACACCTGTTTCCTGCCTTTGAACAGGTATAAGTAACTATTATCTATTAACATGAATTAAATAAATTAAAGAACAGGTAACTTAGGAAGAAGAATTTTGTTTAAATAAATTATACCTTAGCTTACAAATAGTGATTGGGATCATGTCAAAGGGATAAACGGTGACACTTATCAAAATTAACACCAAACACTTACATAAAATCATTGTCAAAGTGCATTGTTTTACTTAATTGCTTTTTTTTTGTTTTAGGGCCCTACTTATGGGGGACCTGACCAAGAAGCTAAACAACGAGGAAGCAACAAGCTACAACGTAGGGAAGAAACCAACAGATGTAGAAGGCCAAACTAACGGCTCTTTCAAAATCGACGGCGATGTCTCATCTAGTGGACAGGTCAACCCACCCCTGAACGTGCAAAATGAGGTCGGAGCTACTCTCATTGGCTTACAAGGAAGCGTAAATGAGCTTAGGGTCAGTGTTAGACAACTGTCTGGTAGCATTGATGCTCTGGCAAGTAGTGGTGATGACGATGAAGAAGTCGGGGAGTATGCTTTGTTTGCCAGTGTGTTAGACAGGCTGAGTTTGGTCCTTTATGTCATCGCCATTGTGGTGGCCATTCCATGCACTCTGCTTATTGGCTACAAACCTGTCAGTGTTAGCTAAAAAGGGACATGATTGCGACTTTACGTTTCATCGGGTGTGGCTTAAATGCTATTCGCGTGATGTCATTTCTCCTGTCGGCATCAAATTTCACCTGCATGCATTGATCTTAAACATCAAAAACAAATGTTTTCTAAATTCGATAAAAGCACAGGTTGAAAAAAAAACATTGTTAGTTGTACACAGATTGCCTGTTTTAAAGATAACCAAAACGATTTAATAGTATAACATCACTTTGATCTGGAAGAAAAAAAACATAATTTTCTATGTGTTTTACCTAAACATTAAGGTCATACATTGTAGAATGAAAACAAGGTAACAAGGTAAAGTATTATGGGCATAAATATCAGTACATTGTAACGATTTTTGGTGATCTTAAGTTAAACTTTAGGGGTCGATGTTTTTCATTTTTTCTTCATATAATAGATTTTGAAGTAGCATCTTCTGTCTTGTCATGGCATGGTTTAATAGAGCTGACTGGAAGTACCTGACGGAGGGGAGCAAGTGGCCAGTACCTGGCCTATGAATATACATGTAGGCAAACATATTCTGTGCATAGTATGATAGAATACTTAAAGTTGTGTTTATATATCAAGGCCATAATATAATGCTATGTTATGCCGTATTTTCTCACATCCTGTCAAATTCAGCTCCGTTATGCTGGTTTTGTTTTTGGTCCATTATTGTAAACAATTACATCTGAAAGTCCTATAGAGATTCATTGAAACTTACAGAATATCACCTATAACTTTCAAAGACAAATCAAATCCTACTACTGGATAAATTGAGAATATTGGAAGAGTTTGGATAGTCTTGAAACATTGTCTTCTGCACTAGACAGACAGCATTAAGAAGAGTTTGGAGTAAGAAAGTTAGCTATTATATTTGGTGATGTCGGTTGGGGGTTAGATTGCTTTGTGATCGTATGATTACATAAGCAGTCATATTTAGTACATCATTTTACATTTTAAAATGCTATGTTATTTTATATGCAAAATGAGTGGTGTTTTATTCTTTAAAACTTGTTAAAACATTTCGGATGTTTCCCTATATTGTAACATTTGTACTGTTGTCTTTTTTGATACCAAACACCTTAAACCTTATCAATATCCGGTGTGCCTTTCACATTTAATGTTATCTTTGTAACCATCTGTACAGTACATAAATGTATGAGCTACAAAAACTAGTACGATATTTGTAAGTTAGAGATATAAGTTACCAACATAAGCTCTTTCAATATATCTATATTTATCAAATCTTTCTCTCTATCTACCTATCTATCTATCAATTGATCAATCGATATATGGATAGATAGAAAGACAGATAGATAGATCATTAGACAGATAGGTAAATAGATAGACACGAATAGATATAATTAATGGACGTATTGGCTTACATAATATTCTTGGTGACTGTTTGAACTGTTAATGACATCGTTATTCAATAAACCACGGTGTAAGGGCAATGTAGTCTCTGTCATATTCTCTGTTGCATTGCAAAACTGAATCGTACCCGGACAAACCGCCACTACAGGTCCACATATTCAGAACACCCATCACCCTCCGCCCTCCACACCTGTATGTTTCCTAGTCTCCATCAGACTCATTTTGCAGGCTGATAAATAGTATAAAAATTGGCCTAAAAGGGAATATCATTGGCCACAGGATCTCCAGTTTGCAAACTGGAGTTTCTATAGCGGCCATCTCCTTTGGCCAATGATATTCCATTTTTAGGCTAATTTCCATACTATTTATTAGCCTGCAAAAGGCGTCTGATGAGTCTAACTGTTCCCCAGAGATGCATTGCTTGACAGTTTCCATTGTTGTGTCGTTCCGTGCCCGATTGGAGGGTTACCCCCCCCACACACAAATGTTATAACTTCGCAATTTCTATATAAGTCTGATGGATTTAGGGAAATGCTTCTTCAAGCGTAGCTTTCATGTCTCTTCAAATAAGGTATTTCCAAACATTTACATGACAAGCAGGCGTCCAAAGGATTAAAACTGGCAATGGAAAGGTCTAGAAGCAAGTTTAGTCAATCAAGTCATTATCGAATTAGACGTCACCACGCCGTGAGTTTTAAATCTACAGTAAAAACGCTAATTAATGATGGGCTACTGTAAAACTAGTAAGAATTGTACTCTGGTGGTACATTTATCATATTGCAGCTTGCTTTAAAATTAGCTTTATCCCCCTTTAAATAATAACATAAGAACCTTATCAATAATCTTTTAATATGCCCTAATCAGGTCATAGGCCCCTGCCCTATTTTCCATCTGCGGTGGGATAATTTCGTCCGCAATTGCTTCGTTTCGCTGCGGTGTGATGCGACACACGAGAAATATCCCCAAAGTGTACAGTACATATACAGGGTGGTATATATGAACCAAGTTTAAACTGAAGTTTCCAACACGAGAAATTTTTACTCTCACAAATTTTTGGACGTGCAACTCCAGTCTTTGCCAAGAACGCCACGCATATAACACACGTGACTCCGTGAGCATTGGATCATAGTTTGTAGAAAGTCTGTGGCGTCCCCCGTCTCTGTTGAGGGATGGACTTTCTGTAAACTATGATAAGGGTGCTATATTGACAGTGTCTTATTTGCAACCAAAATCGTTAGGCTCCGCAGGACTGGGGCTAGACTCTCGAAAGCAAGACAGCCAATCTATCGACCTCTGCTGGACTGTAACGTCAAACAATTTAAATCAACGCGGTAGGGACAATGGCCGACCGAATTCCAACGGTTAACGCCCTAGTCAATAGGAAGATACCCAACATCCGCTACCTCGCCGACAAAACGGATTTAAGCGTACTAAAGATACCAGGGCTGAATTTCAGGCTGAAAATGTCTGGTTTACTCCACCGAGACGAATAGTGCGGGGCTAATAAGGAAATTACCGTTTTCATGACTCCACTGGACAATTAGCCTCCCTTTTTCAGAATTTTACGATTCGTTTGCCCCTGTAAAATGGCCTTTAAGAGATTCGCTTGGATGCTCTCAGTTTTGTTCTGTTTTATTAAAGCCGCCTGACTACGAGGGAAGGGCGGTATTTGCTGTGTCGCAGGTGTCGTCTCTAGAGTTTGGGGCTCAGCATAAGGAAGAACCGGCATGTGTTTCACCGAAATTTGCCAGGTCGACACAAGGTACCATTTTATGAAAAACTTAAACTTTTCTCCAACTCAAAATTTGACTCACCAGAAATTTTCGACTGAATCACTCAGTCTTCCTCAGCTAATTTCTGGTGAGTCAAATTTTGAGTTGGAGAAAAGTTTAAGCTTTTCATAATGCAATTTACCAACTCAGATGAACTTTCATGCTAAGGTACCATTTTATTTGCTATATGTTATTGTTTTCTTATTGAAGCATCTAACTTTCACTTCCCATTCATAAATTCTCAGGATTTGCTCGAGTAAGTACCTTGAATAATGTACCTTGAGCGGGGATATCAAAGATGACACCACAAGAAAAAATGGCTTCTCCACTCGTCCTGTACTCCATCAGTGATTATACATCAAGATCATTTTGAACGATTTGTTATTACTCTACTTGGCCTTCCTATATGGTGTACGGATCATAACACAGCGCGATTTAGGTAGGCTTGAACAGTCTTAAAGCGTAGAAAAAAGGACACTTAGAGACATGCAATCGTCTTTTCGCGGAACAACAGGAATTGTTGTGATCAGAATACTGTAAATCACAGTTAATTTTCACAGCATTTTTTGTAGTCTTGGTTTTTGCCGTCTCTACTGTACAGAGAATTTATCACTACCGTAAACAAATAATCCGTCACATACGTCTTCCCCGAACATGTTTATTTTTCTCAGACCGTGATTTTACATTTGCTACTGTAAAAATCAAGTAATTTACGGTAAAATAAGGCAGACACTTTTACAGATTCAAGCGAAGGTCAAACCATGCTGGCTTACAGCACAGGAAAACCTGTTGGGCAAGTGTAATAACTCTTCTTTTTTAGGCATGTTCTACCAAACACAGCCAAAACATTAGAATTCGTTCTGCAACAAAAACGGAATTCGAAGGTATAGCTAACAGTAACACTAATAGTATACAACTTAGTTCATTTCCACATACATACAAACAAAACAAAACAAGAAAGTAGCATTTTTCCAGATTTAAAAATGACAAAGAGGTTGTCTATGAAAAGGTGAAGCAAGGTCAATCAGTACTTGGGCCATACCCATTTATGCGGCGGGGGGAGAAAAATATACCATGTAAAATTACTCGTTTTAACCATTTAAATTTTCTCTAGTACTTAGTAAACAGAATATACGAATACCTACGTATGTTTTCCATGTTTCACAAAAGTTATTATTACCAATAAAACGACTGTTTATGTTAACATAATACACGGACTTCACCCCTACCAAGGTTATTGGTACAGCCGTTACGTGTAACTCACGTGAATTGTATCAATTTGTACTGCACGGGTTCTGCCGCCTGACTATACAAGACACGGACAGTGTTTGCTGTAAAGCAGGTGGCGTTACTTGAGTTTTCGGCTCAGCACATAGAAGGACCAGAAGGGGATTGACCGAGATTTAAAAGACCGAAAAAAGGTACCAGTTTAGTTTCTGTTTTTTACTCATTTTTTTTTTTAAATCTACCCAGTTTAACAGTGTTATCGTGTTTCTTATTACCTGGACATCTGACCTTCATTGACGACGCTAACACAAGTCCTCTATGTTTGTAAAACAGTAATTTACGCTGACCTTGGGTGCATATTTAGTATTTTCAGTGGTTTCCCTGGCCTGTTGTAGAACGTTAAAGGGAAAACAGATATCACTACTGTAAAGAAATACCAATTCTTAAAAATCACTGTATTCTTTCTGTATACATATATTGACGGTAAATTTGGTGATACGTAGCAATACATGAAACAGATCGTGTATAATCAACTTATAGATAGGATAGCAGTTATAAGTTATAAGCTCCATATATGCTGTTTAACCTCTACTTTTACATACACAGGTATTCCAGTCTGTAATTTTAAACTCTTTCGTATTTCGCCATGTCATGGTAGTCTCAAATCTTCACAGATAGACCTCAAAAAAAAATTTTCAGTGCCAGATTTGGCGCCTTTTGGATTTAGTCTGCCTGGCGAAGTGACATAATGATTTGTGCCAAAGGCAACACTGGATGTAATAAACTTAATCTGATAACACAAAGGGACTTCTATGCTGACATTATACATCGGAGTTGATTTTCAAACACACACACGCACACAGACACACACACACAGAGAGAGAGAGAGAGAGAGACACACGCACACACACACACATACCCCCCTCACACACACACACACACACACACACACACACACACACACACAAACACACACAGAGAGACACACGCACACACACACACATACCCCCCTCACGCACACACACAAACACACACACACACACAAACACACACATACCGCCCCAACACACACACACAAACACGCACACAGACACACGCACACACACACATCCGCCCTCACACAGACACACACACACACACACACGCGCACGCACGCACGCACGCACGCACACACACACACGCACACACACACACACATACACACACACACACACACAGCTATTCAAACAAAATCACACACATAAACTTTATTATTTACTTATAAGTGACATGTTTGTCCGACTAGAAAAGATAAGACAAGGCCAAACACCACAATGATCATACCATCTTCTTGATATCTAGGGGAGAACGAACAACATTTAGCATCACTTATTTAACCAACTTAAACTTTAATATTAGAAACGTTATTTTGTAAACCTTGCGTTTAAAACAACTATTTGCTAAAGCTATTGCAATCCTTATCGACACATGATACATATAAGTATTTTACCTTTAACAAGGTTATTGGTAATGGTATAGTCTGATATTCACGTGAATGCTTTTTTGTTTGTTCTGCACGAGTTCAGGCGCCTGATTTAAGATAAGGACGGTTTTTGTTGTGAAGGTGTCGTCACAGCAGTTTGGGATTCAGCAGGAAGAAGAACCAGGAGGGTTTAGACCGGGATTTGCCAGACCTACACAAGGTAATTCCAGATTTTTTTCACTGTACTGTTATGTTCACTGTTTTCACTGTCACTTCTGTACCGTGAACTGATCATTACATTTAACAAATAATTCCTGGATCTTCTTTTCCTTTATCTGTTGTTACCGTGAATGTATGGTTCCGTGAACATGTCCATTTTTCTCAGACCGTAAACTTTTGCTACAGTGTACATAATGTGCATTACAGAAACATTTGTGTTTTTTTTTCAATCCTAAATCTATTAAATTGTTAAAGCGTGATGTACCATCTACAGGGAGCTTGTGTCTCGTTCTATGAATTCATAGATGCGAACTCCTAGATAGTTAGATATTGTAGACTCCGAGTAAAGGTGTCCAGGGTGTGACCCACAACAGAATAGGATAGTATAATTCAGTGTAACATGTAACAGGACAACTGTAACGTGAACAGTTTTTAACAAGTATTTTGAGAAATAAAGACCTACTAGATTTAAACTGCGAGGGCCTCAGAACACAGTAAAAATGGGTGACCCTTTGGTCCATACGCGGATACACAAAAGAATACAGACAAAATTATTGAGTTAAAAGTTCCATGGGCGCATCAGCTAGTTGTACATTGAGCTGTGAGGTCTTGGCATATGAATGTATGGTTTAAATTGTGACGGTTTTCCAGTTAGGGCGTCATTTGCATTTGGTTTCAGGGGCCGAAATGCCGATCGATTATTTTGTGTATAAATGAAAGTCAAATGTATTTTTCGTACTTCTCAAATGCACCCTATTATAATTCTAATCACGTTTTAGTGAGTCACGTTGGGCCCATAGCTATACAGATCCGCAAATGGGGGGGGGGGGTCTTAGGGCATGTAAGTACTTTAACAAAGAAAAACCTGTTTGATACGTTTAGGCCACAGGAAGTAAATTTTAAGGATGACATCCTCCGCAAACACCAAATCTAATGCGGGCGAGCAAAAAAAA